ATTACAAAAAATTAGCCTGGCATGGTGGTATGTGCCTGTAGTCCCAGCTGCTTGGGAATCTGAGGCATGATAATCGCTTGAACCTGGGAGGCAAAGGTTGCAGTGAGCCAAGATTGCACACTGCACTCCAGCCGGGGCAACAGAGCAAGACTCTGTCTCAAAAAAAANAAAAAAAAAAAAAAAAAAAAAAAAAAAAAAAAAAAGGGTCATGTACAATAGACCCATAGCTAGTATCATATTGAATGGGGAAAAACTGAAAGCCTTTCCTGTAAGAACTGGAAAAAGGATGGCCACTTTCACTACCATTATTCAAGACAGTACTGGAAGTCCTAGCTACAGTAATCAGATGAAATAAAGAAATAAAAGACATCCAACTGGAAAAGAAGACAACAAATTATCCTTGTTTGCAAATGATATGATCTTACATTTGGAAAAACCTAAAGCCTCCACCAAAAAAACTGTTAGAACTTTAGAATTTATTATTAAACTATTGTTTACTGATAAACAAATTCAGTAAAGTTACAGGATATAAAATCAAAATACAAAAATCAGTAGCATTTCTATGTGCCAACAGTGAACAATCTGAAAAGGAAATCAAAAAAGCAATCCCATTTACAATAGCCATAAATTAAATTAAATACCTAAGAATTAACCAAAGAAGTGAAAGATCATTACAAAGAAAACTATAAAATATTTGTGAAAGAAATTTAAGAGGACACACCAAAAAATGGAAAAATATTTCATGTTCATAGATTGGAAGAATCAATATTGTTAAAATGTCTATAGTACCTAAAGCAATCTACAGATTCAATGCAATTCCTGCTAAAATAGCAATGACATTTTTCACAGAAATAAAAAAAAAAAATTCCTAACATTTATATGGAACCACAAAAGACCCAGAATAGCCAAAGCTATCCTAAACAAACAAAAAACAAACATACAAAACAACAACAAAAAAAAAAAACTGGAGGAATTACATTACCTGAATTCAAATTATACTATAGAGCTATTATAACCAAAACAGTATGGTACTAACATAAAAACAGACCCATAGAACAGAATAGAGAACCCAGAAACAAATCCATATAGCTACAGTAAACTCATTTTCCACAAAGGTGCCAAAAACATACAGTGGAGAAAGGACAGTCTCTTCAATAAATGATACTGGGAAAACAATATCCATAAGCAGAATAATGAAACTAGACCCCTATCACTCACCACATAGAAAAATCAAATTAAAATGGAATAAGTACTTAAATATAAGCCCTCAAACTATAAAACTACTACAAGAAAACTTGGGGAAACTCTTCAGGACATCTGTCTGGGCAAAAATTTCTTGAGTAAAACCCACCAGCACAGGCAACCAAAGCAAAAATAAATGGGATCACATCAAGTTTAAAAGCTTCTGTGCAGCAAAGGAAACAATCAACAAAGTGAAAAGACAACCCACAGAAAGGGAGAAAATATTTGCAAACTACCCATCTGACAAGGGATTAAGAACCAGAATATATATGGAACGGCAAACAGCTCTATAAGAAAAATAATAATCTAAGTTTTAAATGGGCAAAAGATCTGAATAAACATTTCTCAAAAGAAGACATACAAACAGCAAACAAACATATATGCTCAACTGTTGAGCATGGTGGCTTACACCTATAATCCTAGCACATTGGGAGGCCAAGGTGGGAGGATCACAAGGTCAGGAGCTCGAGAAGCCTGGCCAGTATGGTGAAACACCATCTCTACTAAATATACAAAAATTAGCCAGGCATGGTGGCAGGCACCTGTAGTCCCAGCTACTCAGGAGGCTGAGGCAGGAGAATAGCTTGAACCCAGGAGGCAGAGGCTGCAGTGAGCCAAGATCGCACCACTGCACTCCAGCCTAGGTGACAGAGTGAGACTCCATTCAGGAAAAAAAGAAAAGAAAAAGTACTCAACATCATTGATCATCAGAGAAATGCAAATCAAAACTACAATAAGATATCATATCATCCCACTCTGGTTAAAATGGCTTTTATCCAAAAGCCAGGCAATAACAAATGCTGGCAAGGATGTGGAGAAAGGGAACCCTCATACATTGTTGGTGAGAATATTAGTTAGTACAACTACTATGAAGAACAGTTTGGAGGTGCCTCAAAAAACTAAAAATATAGCTACCATACAATGCAGCAATCCACTGCTGGGTACATAACCAAAAGAAAGGAAATCAGTATATTGAAGAGATATCTGCATTCCCATGTTTGTTGCAGCACTATTCACAACAGCCAAGATTTGTAAGCAACCTAAGTGTCCATCAACAGATGAATGGATACAGAAACCAGAGTTTCTTTATATATACTTATATATAATGGAGTAATATTTAGCTATACAAAAGAATGAGATCCTGTCATGTGCAACAACATGGATGGAACTGAAGGTCATCATGTTAAGTGAAATAAGCCAGGCACAGAAAGACAAACTTCTAATGTTTTCACTTATCTGTGGGATCTAAAAATCAAAACAATTGAACTCATGGAAATAGTAGGCTGGGCGTGGTGGCTCACACCTGTAATCCCAGCACTTTGGGAGGCCGAGGCAGGCGGATTACCAGAAATCAGGAGTTCAAGACCAGCTTGGTCATTGTGGTGAAACCCAGTCTCTACTAAAAATACAAAAATTAGCAGGGTGTGGTGTCAGGCACCTGTAATCCAGCTACTTGGGAGGCTAAGCGGGAGAATCACTTGAACCTGAAGGCAGAGGTTGCAGTGAGCCGAGATCATGCCACTGCACTCTAGCCTGGGCAACAAGCCAGATGCTGTCTCAAAAAAAAAAAAAAAAAATTGTTCAGAAGACAGATTTCATGTTATATATTCTTTCCACAATAATTTTTTTAAAGACCAAAAAATTGGACATAAATGTTCATTATCATGGGATTGTTTAAATAACTTATTCTGTCCATACAGATCAATATTATGCAACCCTTAGTAATGATGACCTAGCTTTATATGTATTAGTTTGAAAGACATTAATTATAACTTATATAGCAAAAATGTAAACAATAGAGGATTGGTCCATTTAAAACGTATGTGTGTTCATTTAAATGAAAATCTGTTTACAATGGTTTTCTATGTTTATGCATTTCTCTATTACTTAAATTTTTTACAATAAGCATATATTTTTTGAGGAAAAAACAATGCCAATCTTTTTGAAAAATACAAATGTAATCTTTAAGAATTTCACAAACCATATACCACCAACATATTTAAAGTTGTCTGCATTATGATACATTTTAGACATATGTTCTTCAGATTACAAATTTCTATAAGATTATTTACAAGTTGTTCTTATTAAAATTTACATTAATTCATTTTCCTTAAGCTTCCTTTAGGATTTTTTTGGGTATCGATATCAATTTTACATCTTCCTAGACTTTGTTCTGGAATTTAAATGAGTGTAAACACTTAATTGCTCAGCCAAATACCAAACACTTGAATCCACAGGCTCTGTGCCTTTGGAACAGATGGTTATGAAAATAAATGGTTCTGCAGAGTTCACATTTACTAGAGGTGTCAAAAAATAAAGATGGATTACAAAAGCTCTGAAAAACGTGTGGCTTCTAGTGTATGATGGTTTTGAAAAGGGATGAGTGTATTTGCATGTGTGTTATGTTTGTGTGTAAAGACACATACCTGTATCTTTCATAAGTATATGTGAGAATTCCTGTTTATGCTCATGGTGTGTACTTTCTCACAGGTAATCAAATCTGTTATGCATATGCTTATCTGTACCTCCAAGGCAAGCCACATTTGCTTTCATGTTGTGTTCAGGAAACCAGCCTCAACCCGTCTGCAAAGGGTTTCGGTGTCGGGCCGGCTCCACTCTGGCCACCTACAGTGGAGATGAGCTATTTTTGGCAAAGGTGCAGAGTAGAAAGGCAACGCAGGCTGCTGCCCAGGAAGTCAGTTGACGAGGGCGCGCGAGACACTTCAGCACCACGGACACGGGCAAGCCTGATCCAAGTCCCGCTGAACAGCCGGGGGAGATCGCCCCCGCCAGGAGCTTCCCCCAGTCCTCTGGGCCCGGGGCGTGACTATCTCCGGGCCCTCGGTCGTCACTGGGACGCGAGGTTTCCGCCTTGCTCCTCGCGGAGCCAGGAGAAAACCTGGCCCGAGATGAAGGTGCGCGTTGAGCCCTCACCAGCCCCCAAACGAGTCTCCTTCCAGCGCGACCCTTCTTCCCTCTCCTCCTCTCAAATAAGGCCAAATGGATGCACGTGGCGTAGAAATTCTATTGAGCCCAGAGGATTGTCAGGAAAGATTGGGGTTTTCGTCCTGTGGCTGCTGGAGGCTGAGTGGACTTGCCCTGAGCCTCCGGCGCCACTCTCGGCCGTGTCCTGGCCCTTTCTCCACTAATCCCTGGCCTTCGTCTTCCCTTGGGAAAAGATTTCTACAAACCGTCGATGTACCACGAAAATATCAGCGCACATAGACTGGCTTTCAAGAGTCATGGACATGAGACAAGAGAGTAATGGAAAATACAAATTGGCCATATTTCTAAAACCATCCAGCCTTTTTTTAAAACTTGTATCTGAAATTGATCCCATGACGCCACAGGGACTCACCCTTGCTTGGGTGGGTTACTGGGCGAGAGCAAAGCAACAGCCTCCTGCCTTTAACATGGACGCTGCGGGAGGGCCCAGACACGCGACGGCGACAAGAAAAGGGAAACAGGGCTGTAGCCCAGCGGTCCCCGCGTCCTGGTTCTCCAGAGGGCAGCGAAGAGAACTGCGGGCCCTGCGGCCTTTCAAGCGTTGTGCTGAGCACCCCGAGGTCTGCAAAGGGGCAGGGCGCGTCGCCCCCAGCCCGGCCCATACCCAAAAAGACTGCTCTGCCTCTTAGGTATAGCAACTAAACGCGTGTGTGGGGTTCGGGGTCCGCTGTCACTCCCCTGTGGGGGCGGCCGGGCAGGTAGGGTCAAGGTCCCAGTCCGCCGCCGCCGACCGGCTCCCGGGGCCCGGTTACCTGCGTGTCGAGGCGAGGAAGGTGCGCACGGAGCCCGGGAGGCGACTGAGGCGGGCGTGCGCTCGCCGGGGAAAAGCTAGGCGGGCGCTGCCCGGAGGCGTGCTGAGCGAGAGGGGCGCCGCCGGCGCGGACTCTGCGCCTGCGCTCTCCGCCGCCCCCACCCCACAACCTGACTGGCGCCGGAGTAGAAGACTGTGGGGGGCGCCCAGGGTTTGTGCCTGAGCTGAAGGACTTCCTCTACCCGCGCGGTAGGAGGGTCTAAGTCCGGGAAGCCGCCTGCCGGGGCCCCTCTAGTTTACGCCCTTGGAGGGCGCCTGTTTGAAGCAATCGCCTGCCTGATAGGGCGATGTAATCCTCTGCAAGTGGGTAGGGAGGCAGTTTCTGTCCATTTCCACCCAAGTTTGCTCATAAAAGTCTCAAGTCGATTCCTTGGTGTTTAAATATGTGTCCAGCATCGGAAAATCGTGGTCCGGAAAAGTCTTCGGGCATCCCCGAGTCCACCCGCCATTTTACTGATTAGGTCTCCGAGGGAAGGGTCTGGATACTGCACAGCTGGTTCTTCTACCCACTTCCATATGCCCCAGTCCCAAGTGTAATGAATATAGCTTCATGGAAATAGACTAGTCATCAAAGCAGTGGATTCTATGGGTCCAGGGACAGGCAGGAAGGCTATACCCCTGGGACAGACAAGAAAGGGTGAGGCCTGAACCAAGGTGCTGACTGTGGGAAAATAAATAAATAAATAAAAAACAGGAGGTGCCTGCTGGTTTTTCCTCTGTCCCTTCAGACCCATTCTCCACTCTGCTGTGATTCAGGACTGACCATTATTGGCCACCTCAACTAAAATCTGGCTTTCAATTGGCTTTGGCAAGTGGGAGGCACCTGCGGATCAGAAGGCAGGATGTAATTCAGGACCTCCCGTGCATCCCCAGCGGGCCACCCTGTTTGCAGTCACTATGTTCTTCAACTGAAAGCCATTATTCCCATCCTGTAGCCCTCTCCTGCAGTTTTCTCCAGGTGCTGGTTACCACCAACTACACTTGCCCCTTCAGGCCTGGGGTGGGTAATGGCACCCAGAGGTTTCATTTAACCCCATCCACATCTTTTTTTTTTTTTTTGAGTCTTGCTCTGTCGTCCAGGCTGGAGTGCAGTGGAGTGATCTCGGCTCACTGCAACCCCTGCCTCCCAGGTTCAAGCGATTCTCCTGCCTCAGCCTTCCTAGTAGCTGGGACTACAGACCCACTCCACCACGTCCAGCTATTTTTTTTTTTTTGTAGAGACGAATTTTCACCGTGTTAGCCAGGATGGTCCTGATCTCCTGACCTCGTGATCTGCCCGCTTGGGGCTCCCAAAATGCTGGGATTACAGTCTTGAGCCGCCCACCCGGTCCCCATCCACACCTTTTTAAATAGTCCCTTTATTAAACTCTCTTCAACTATCCCATCTTTTCCTCCACCTTTCCAGGACACTATAATAGATTTTAGTCCTTTTCGGTTGGTAAAATTCATGAGGACAAAAAGA